CGGTGGTGTTCGGGGGGCCCTCGAACATGACCCCCTGCATCCTGCCTACGACGGGCATCGTCTCTTGGGCCGCTGGTAGCACGGGGTGCGGCGCTGCCTTGGGCACCGCCACCATAGCTTTTGGCTATGACTCATCAGTCATAGCCCCCGTCACCTCCGCCTCCATTGGTGGGACCTCATCTGGCTGCGCCACGCCCACCTTGGCCAACGCAACAAACACGACCAGTAGCTCCGCCCACTCCAATGTCAGCAGCGGAATCGCTTCTCGTCGCCGTTTGCTCGGCAACCTCTGAGGGCACCCCCTTAGCCTCGCCCACCACCTGACCCTCTAAGGGCATAGGCACCACCGTGGGTGGCGCCTGACCGGCCAACGAGGCTATGATGCCGGCTCCACTCTCGTCCAAAATGGGAGCGACATCAGGCGATGGCCCCCGCATTGCCTGAAGGGCAATGCTCTTCTTGGGTGCCAGTGCTAAAGAAGTGCCCCATCTGACTCATCTCCCGATGCTGTAGAAGAAACAAAATGCGTGAGTCACGATGACGATAGGCAAAAATAGAGAAAAACAGAGAAAACAGAGAAGCTGACGACTTACGATGGCTCTGTTGGGTGGTGGAGACATTTGGGGGATGAACCCCTAGGCCTCTGCTCCGTCTCATCGGGGCAGGACCATTTGGAGCCCGTCCCCTGCTCCTGGGCAGAGGGACCCACCTCCCTTGCCTCCGGTGGCGCGGCAGCAGAGACGCCCCGCTCCACCGACACCTCGGGCGCGGCAACAGATCCGCCCGCCCCTGATAGCTCTTGGGGTGTGGCGGTAGGGCCACCCCCCTATGCTAGCACCTCAGGCACGGTAGCAGACCTGCCTGCTCTTGCTGTCTCCTAGGGTAGGCCGATGGTTTGGTCCGTCTCCGTCGGCCCCGTGGACGTGTTTTCCCCTGCGTGGAACGGGAAAGGCCCCTGCACGGACGAGTATATACCTGTCAGCGCATCCTTGCTCACCAGGTTATCCCACTTAGTGTTGGCTACTACCTCGTCATCCTCATCATCATCGTCGTCGTCGTCATCACTGTCTACCTCCTCTCCTCGCTCCCATGCCTACAACTTCTGTTGCTTCTTCCTCCTATCATCCTCCTTGGTCTTCTTCAGCCACTCGGCCATGGTGCGATTCACTGCCGCCATGAGTGGGTCCTTTGGTAGTGGAGCCAAGTGGTGCATAAAGATGAGTCTCTTTGGCTGGTGCCCCTATCTCAATATCAGCATCAAGAGGTCAGAAGTTCAATTAAAAAGGAGGCACGAGGAAAAAGAACTTACGAAGTCAATGTACCCTGGTTCTAGCCGCATTGGGGGATGCCCTGGCACTGGATACACGAAGTTAAGGATGGCACCGATATCGTCCCGTGGGGGCTCCATCGCCTCCTTGATGCGATGTGCCACTTCAGAGGGGGAGAGCGCTCCATCAGCGAGCGCCGTCCCATCGAGTGACGCTCCGGGCACCATCAGGTGCAGGGGAAGCGCGCGACTCATCAGCGGCGCCACCCTCCGCATATGATAGGCGCCAATGATCCCTAACCCCTTCATGTCCCTCTCCTTCAGAATTTGGATGGCGGCGAGATAGTCCAGGATTTTCTTCTTGTCTTTATCCGAGACCCCCCACTTCCTCCACGATTCCAGGAACTCTTCGATGAGGCGCCCGGTGAACGCTGGCAAGGGGGCGACTACATCGTCCTTGACATAGAACCAATATGAATGCCACCCCTTGTTGGAGGTCGACAGACGCATCGACGGGTACTCGTTGACCCGATTGTTGCGGAGCTAAATGCTGGTGCATCCCATCGGCACGCTCAGCTCTTGCCTTTTCTCCCGCTTCTTCAGGAGGGTGATGGCGAAGAAATGCCACCATAGATCGAAGTGGGGACTAATCCCCAAGAACCCCTCACACAGGGCGACAAACGCCGCAATGTGCTGGATCCCATTGGGAGTAAGGTGTTGCAGCTCCACATTGTAGTAATGCAGCAACCCCCGAAGGAACTTGTGGGTGGGGGTGGTGAATCCACACTCATGGAAGTGAGCAAAGGACACAACGTAGCCTTCGGACGGCGACAGCGTGTCCTCATTGCCGGGCAGCCGCCACTCCTCGACGGCGGTCCACGCACAAAGTAGGCCACGGCAAACGAGGCCCTCCAGGCGCTGGAGGGTGACATCGGATCTACACCACAACTCCATTGAACGATTAGGGGGGATGGATGCGAACTTGACGGTGGCTGAGATGCGGATGCTAGAGGCTTAGGCTATTGGCGGCGGAGGTTGTAGATGCAAAGGCAAGGAGGCGATGTACAAAACCCTGGGGGCGAACCTTTTGGTTTTATAGGGGCGACGGATGTAAGGAAGGCAACCGTCCACCTGGATCTCCGCGCCTACCACGATTCGCCGCCACATCAACACATGGGATATGCGCCCCCAATCTCTATCCTTTCCCACCAAAGTCGCGCCAGACATTTCATCTTCCCGGGTAGACCGGGACTCTTTGCCAGCAGAAGAGATACGGGTCAAAAAACATTCCTCCCGCCCGCCTGGGCCCAGGAGTTCAAGGGTTGGCCCATCAACGGTTTCGATGACCGTCCCAAGGCAGCCTTACGACGAAGGATGGGCCCACGAGCGGCCAAAACCCAGGCACATGAATGCCACAAGTATCTCAACCTACGATTAAGTCTTAGCCAGGCTGACTCTTGCAATATCCCCATGAACGGGATACCAGGACTCCAATCGAAGTATCCAGTTAACAAAACACCAAATCTCATAGCCATACCTGTGAAGGGTCCAAATTACCCCCGGGCGATTCTATCTGAATCACCCGGGTTCTCGGGCTACACCCATTGGGTACGCTCGTGCGCACCCTCTGGCGAATCGAAACACCCCCAGGTGAGTCTATCCAAATCACTCGGGGCTCGAGGGCTACACCCGTTGGGTGCGCTCGCGCGCACCCTCTGGCAAGTCAAATCACCCTCTGGGCGATTCTATCTAAATCATCCAGGGGCTCGGGGGCTACTGTCGGGGACCGAATACTGGGGTACCCAAAGAGAAGGAGCTAATAACCATCAAACATTGATGCTTCCGAACAGACAAGAACGCAACTACACTTCTTGCCTAAACGACCGAAGGTTGGTTCCGCCTCGCCTGACCCCTAAGGGCTAGCTCCGCCTCACCCGACCCCCGAGGGCCAGCTCCGCCTCGCCCGACGACTGAGGGCTGGCTCCGCCTCGCCTGACGTCCGGAGGCTGGCTCCGCCTCGCCTGACGTCCAGGGGCTAGGCTCCGCCTCGCCCGACGTCCATGGGTAGACTCCGCCTCGCCCGACGTCCGAGGGTTGACTCCGCCTCACTCGATGTCTAAGGGTAGACTCCGCCTCGCCCGACGACTGAGGGTTGGCTCCACCTCGCCCGACATCCAGGGGCAGACTCCGCCACGCCTGACGTCTTAGGGCAGACTCCACCTCACCCGACGTCCGAGGGCATGCTCCACCTCGCCTGACGTCCAGGGGCAAACTCCGCCTCGCTCGACGTCCACGCGCTGCTCCCTCATAACTACACGCGCAGATAAGGTGAGACACTTAAGTCAACCGCAATTCCGAGGGCCATATCCTGCATGCCTGCAGGAAAGTACCATCAGGATATGACCAGACAGGCACTTTAAGCCCTTCTAGGCATGTCAGATCCCAAACAGTGTTACGGGCGTCGACATTTATCCTACAGTGTTATGGGCGCCGGCATTTGCCCTCGGGCATGAATCCTGACGGAAACATATAACAACCACTACGGTCTAGAAGGAAGCTCATGTCACCTACAGTAATGAACGTGGGGTCTCTACACCGTTTGCTCCCCGTAGGGTCGCGACTCGACACCCTGGTGCGTCGCGCCGCCCGCAAGGACGGGATGGGACGTGACCCCTTGCTGAACGAAGCCAGAGCACGGCCCTGCTAGGATCAGCGAACGTGCTATCCCTGACACCGTCTGACCGTGTCAGTGAGGCTGGCTCAGAGGAAAAGGAAAACCCGGCACCTTCGAAAGAGTTTTTTGGCCTCTGGTTTTTCTTTTTTCTCCCATTTTGTAAGCCCTGCACCCCATTGATCTATAAAAGAGAAGGCAGGGCACCCTACTAAAAGGACGGATCGATTCAATACATCACGCACCACATAACACACGGCTGAGCACCCTTGGCGTCGGGAACCTGCTCGGCCTCCCCACCAAGCTGCTGCTCATAGCGTCCAACGCCAACGTGGGCGGCCCCACCACGGTCTGCGGCATGGCCGCCGCCAAGGGATGGACCTCTCTGGTGGTTACAGGAATCCTTGCAGGCATCTTTGGGATCGCCATCGCCACCTTCATGGGGATCGCTTTCGGTCTGCTTGTCCTCAAACACATGGCATGACAATATGTAGCAGAGATTGGCAGATTGTGCTCTGCATTCCTTTATTTGCATTTCCATGCCCTCTCTCATATATCTTTATATCTTTAGATAGATTACACATGACATGAACATGATCCATCCACATAATAAGTAAGCTACAACAAACACTTATGACATACACATCTCGACGTTTCTAACTCATCCTAGCTACAATATATGGAACACTCACACCTTGCAACTCATCTACACAAGTTTCATTCTATCAACAAGGCAACATGCTACCTCACAACTCTTAGATTTCTGACTCCATGTCAAGCCAGCCAAATATACACCGGAGGAGCATTGTGAATCCTATAGACATTTTCCCCTGCTCCTTCGGTTCGGAGACGAACCAGGCAAACATTACAAATAGCTACTAATGCGCTGTTACCCCTGAATCACAAATGGTAGCTGCTAATGCAGCAACTTGTACGAGCTACATTTCCATAATCCTACAAATACAAGGATGACGATGATGAGAGCCAAAAAGAGCAACCGCACAACTGAACCAATCTGTGCAGCCTCTCGTTGTCTTCTCAAGGATGGCACTGCCACTCCAGTCACATGGGCGCTGTGCTGCATGCCCTCACGGACATCCTGGCTGGTCTCCTCCGTATGTTCCTGTTTGTGCCGCTGCTTGATATTGCCTCCATGATGTAGCTCACCATGTAGCTGTGTACCTTCTGTAAAACAAAATTACCAAAACCTCAGATACAGCTCAAGTTGCAGTCATGCAGGTGGGATATCTATTGCTCCAACATATATTATATGGAGAAGGTCAGGTTTTACAGCATCGTGTTAATAGCATCCCAAGGCAATACAGGCAGATCCGTCTCTGGTCACATGCCGTTGAGTATTAGTGAAACGCTGAAAAGCTAACTTTAGACTCTACGATATGAGGAAGCAATCCAACTGAATTTTTTCGTAACAGAAGTGATCCCACAGCCCAAGTTGTGTAGAAGCCACTGATAAGAGCAACAGCTTTGCAATTTGCCGCAAATAAATGAGGAAAAAGCAAATGCAATGTGTGAAGTCGGCCTGGGCAAAAAAAAAAAAAAAAACAAGACCGAAATACCCTGACCAAGACCGAAATACCCAAACACTCGGTCGTCGGTTCGTATATCGGTCTCGAGTTTGGAAACACCGATTTTTATAGAAGCCTATTCGGTCTGCACTGCTGAATACATGAATTCCCGAAGTACCCGAACTAACGTCATCATCTGCTATTCAGCTCGTCCTTATCCCCAAGTCCCCACCACCGTTTGCTCTGTGCCTTCCGATCTCGTGTCCTCCGCCCGGCCGCCCGAGGGAAACGGAGCCCCACGCCTGGTGTGCAGCATGCCAGCACCAGTCTCCGTCCCACTGCCTGCTCGGCACTTCCTTAGCGCCGCCGTCTGAGTTGCAGTCTCCTCTCAATCGCGCCCCTCTGAGTTGTCTCCTGTCTCCTCTCAATCACGCCCCTCATGCTGCAGCATCTTGCCTCTACCTTCGTGCCTCATTCTCGTCGCTCGACATCAACGCCAGGTACACGAACCCCGCCCTTTTCCCATCCGCCGTGGCCGCCTGGCAGGAGATCCATCACCATGTACTCCTTCCGGTCTCGATCTGGCTTCAGCACCAAGATGGGTATGCCAGAGATCCCCTACAACCCCATCCATATTACTGTATCTACTCATCTCGGTTTGTTCGGTCAGAACCGAAGACCGAATCAGAGAGACCGAAGATTGAATCCTCGGTTCACCGATTCTCCCATGCTAACTTCGGTTCTCAATATCTAAAGACCGAAAAAACCGACCCGAAATATCGGGTAGTACCGAACACCCACCCTGACTCCATGGAATATACAAAATATTTTTGACCTCGCTACCTGAACCATAGTTTTTTATAATTAATATTATATACTAAGTTTAGAGAGCACTAGAGCTATTTAAATGGAAATAGCAATATACTACCATCAAATGTGAAATCTTGTAGCTTTTCTGTAATTTCCGTCAACGAAACTACTTGAGTAGGTATCACCCCTCCACCTTGAATATGCATTGCTTCTCCAGCCTGATCAAGACCATATTAATCCAGTTAATACTAGCGTCAGTAAATGGAGTTATGGGAAGGTAGAGTCGAACCATAGATTGGGAGAACATATTGGCATAATCCTCGTTATTGTTGGTGGATGAACTGCCTGTGCTATAACATAATCCTGCTTCATCTTCACCCTCCAAATGAGAAGTTAGTACAGGCTCAGTGACTGATGCCCTCTGAATAGAGTGCACAAGGCGGATCCTTCTTGGTGCATCCCCTTGGTGTGGATCCGTAGAAGGTTCCGCTGCCCATCCTTGGAGTCCATTAAAGATATCTGAATCTGAAATGTCAATCCTAGCCGGTGCTACCATACCATTGAACAAGTGCTGGGGATAAGGAGTCGAGGAGGCTGCAGAGCACAAGGCTCCACTATTTGGTGGTTCCGTTTCAGGAATGAATGCCGATTGAAGTTGATATTGGTTGTCAAAGTGGGACACTTGAGCTGATGCATTGGAAGACAAGTTACTCTGAGCTCCTGTGTGATGATTAGCATTGTCTTTATCAGCTTGTAGTATTTTGGTTGCAGAAGAACAGCAAGCAGAAGCACCTGTGCCATCTGTACCCTTTGTTTGAAAAGGAAACTAGGAATTATGTTGAGGTATGAATCCCAAGATGGATAAAGTGAAGACAAAATGATCCTAACCTTGATTAGGAGCAACGTTTCAGAACCAACTTTTCCACGGCCATTTTCAGCCAATCTCTTGCTGTTTGAGCTGTTGTCTAGAACGGGTAGAGAAGTAGGGTGGGGCTCAACATTTACAGTGGCCTGCTCAACCATGTCAGCCAAAGAAGGGCTGGCCAACAAGTCTTCCAGATCCTGATGAGCAATGATACTATATATATACGCTGAAAGATCTTGCTCGCCAGCATTGCCAAGAAAAGGATGATCAGTGTAAGGACGCATCGGAGAGGTGATTGTAGGGAATCCATCGAATGTATGCTCAGGCTGTAGGTCTGGAAGCTGGGCTAACACATCCAGAAGATGATCGTCTCCCTGCTTTAGGTTACAGTTACACCCTGAATCAATACACTGCGTGCATTGAAATGAGATCTTAACTTAGACCAATGCAAGGATACTCTACTGCACCTGGTTGGATGTTGGCTCATTGCTACTGACAGTTGCAAGAAGATGAGACATTTGGGCAGAAGCCGGCTGGCTCAAATTCTCAGCTTTCACCGCTGGTGCGATGGCCGGAGACGATGTGGACGGTGAATCGGCGGCGTCTGAGGCTTCGGATTCTTCCTCGTTCTTGTTGAATAGGCGGTAGAGCACGAAGCTACCCTGGTGATAGAGTAGAAAGAAACAAGAAATGATTGTAATCAGCCTGGGGGTAGCAGTAGTCAAATGGGGGAAATGGGTAGCAGGAGCAAAACAAACGTTTTGTCCTTGCTGGAGCTGGGGCTCGGCCGTGCGGTACTCGTGCATGATCCAGGAGGAGCGGTGGCCTCGGGGCGCCCTGCCTCTGTGGAAGACGAGCGTCTTTTTGACGCCGATGAGGGTGCCTGCTGGGCGCGAGCGGATGAGGCGGTCCTTGCCCGTGGCCTTCCAGTACCCGGCAGCGGTGGAGCGGTTGGAGCGGTGGCCGCCGGGGTACTTGCGGTCGAGGGGCGCGAAGAAGAACCACTCGGGGTCGTCGGACCTGATGAGGGCCTTGGCGGGCAGCTCCCAGGGCTCGCACGCCGAGAGGTCGACATCGGGGATGAGGAGCAGGTCCGCGTGCGCGCGACCCGCGATCTTGGGCTTGAGGTAGTGCCGCACCAGCTCCTCGTCCGTCGGGCGGAAGCGGAACCCTACCGGCAAAGCCGCCGGCAGCGGCGGCGGCGGCTGCATCGCTTTCGTCCCTCCTTTCCCTGCTGCGCTGGCAGAGGAGATGGAGTAAAAGGCATGACATGGGCCGCCTTGGGCTGACCATGGGCTGCCTCTTCTCTTATCGGGCCTGACTAGGATTGGAGCCTAGTTAGTTCTTCCACAACGCTCCACTATGCACTGTTGTCACATAATGCCATGTAGGCTCGGATACCTAGATGGATGTGAGAGAAGTTGGGAAGATGGCTTTTGCAACATGTAAGTGTGGCTTGTAGACGAGGTATTTACTTCGTCTGACGAAAAGCATAAGCTGCAGTTGAAGCCACGCGTTGCAGCAAAAAAAACGTTGGCTTGGAGCATAAAGTAGAGTGGTCTGCTGGGAAAAAGACTGCATAATCAATAGAGTAGAAGAAGCTGTTAAAAATATATAGCATTATGACATTAGTGATTTCAATCTATCCTTGTTTACTGAAACCACTGCCCATAGCAGCCTACGTAGGGGCTGCCCTTAGGGTAGGCTTGTCCCCATAAAAAACATGGGTATGTTTGGTTAGGCTGCTATCTCTAGTCTAGTTTTCATAAGAGTTTGTTTGGTTGCTTGTTTTATCATGGATAGAATCACCACATCTTTAGCCTGGTATGGTTATCCTTTGATGCATTCTATCAAACAATTGATCACCTCCTAATTACCAACCAACGAATCAAATGCTTATTTTAGAAGAATAAAAACAAATGACACAACTTGTATGCATCCCAACGACTTGGTTCGACATCATTAGTTGTTTGTGAATTGCGATTAGATACACTCGTTAGTGCATAGCAGTAGAGATTTTTTTTATTTTTAACATTTTTTTAAACTATTTTTAATTCTAACATTGTTTTTTTCAAAAGTAACACTTTTGAAAGCGCCTATTTCCAGGGCGTGGTGAAACAACGCTGTCGCGCCATGTATGGTGACGCGACAGGGGTGCGTACGTGGCAACATCCCGGCCCGCTGGTCGCTGACGTGGTAGGTCTTGTCGCGTCACCGATCAGGGCGCGGTTGTGGTGCGCCACCCATCAGGGTGCGGCAGAGCGCAATAGAGGCCCATGGCCTAGTCCCTTTTGTCCCTCTCTATTTCACTCCCCGCCGCCCAGCCCCCGCCGCCGTGCCATTGCCTCCCGCTCCCCCACGACCGGCCACCGACTTTTCCTCCCTTGCTGGCCCCCTTCCTACCTTCCCCAAAGCTCCTCCTCGGCCTTATCAAGGTAATGAAGCTCCTCCTCAGCCTCCACGGTGGATCGAAGGATTTGAATGAGTAGTTAAGGTATGGAGGAAAATATGAGTTTGTTAGAACGTTGGATTGAAGGATTAGGATTAGGATTGTCAATGTTAAGGTTAATTGGTTTGTTAGAATTATAATTATTATGTATTTTAAGGTCAATTTTTATATGAATTTTGCTTGTTTGAGTTTGCATCTCAACTTTTATATGTGAATAAATATATGGACACACCATTGATGTACCAAATTTTATTTTTTAGTGACCAAAGAATAGTTTTTATATAGTTTGCATGTTTACATCTAAGATAGAGTTTGCACCAAAGTATAGGTTATATTTTATTTGTTGTAATACAAATGGTTCTCATTGACATTAATTTGTGATGTTTTGATTTTTGTTTGTTAAATTAAAACCATTTTGTTAGATGCAAGACATGTATCGGGAAGAGTTTTGGCAAAAACAGGGTCATCCTAGAGAATTATACCCCGATGCGTCTAGCAAAGATGCCCCCGTCCCTCCTGACCTCCCTATCCCTAACTGTGACTGTGGTTTCCTGGCCGACGTGTTTCAATCGAGATATCTAGACATAGCGACGCGTTGCTTCTACACAAGCAGATGTTTTAATGTAAGTAATTATTTCCACTATCTTTTTTTCTTCATTTGTGTAAGTAGGCTACTAATATTTTGTTGGAATCTTGTTGTGTAGGCCAATGAGAGGTGTTTTTTCTTTCAATGGATCGACGGTGCAGACAAGTTTGACCCTAGGTACCTCTTTTTCGACGATTGATGTAGAGGGAGACATCCATGTGAGCACTTCGAGCGGTGGGTTCCACCCCCCTAACCCCCCGCAAATGATGGCTAAGGAGAAGCACCTAGCCACAGTTAGACAACTCGAGGAACCTCCTCTATGCTAATGCAGAGATCGAGCTGTGATAAACCCTGAGAATACGTTGAAGTTTATATGTCCGAACAAGCACGAAGTAAGTGGAAAAGTGTATCAATTTAAATGTTTTATCTCTATATGTGTGCGTGTACTAATGTATTCTCTTGTAGCATTATGGATTTGCGAAGTGTCATTTCAATGAGTGGCTCTACGGTCCTAAGAATCAATGGTCGGAGCCACCAAAGGCAAAGGAAAAGAAAAAAGAAAGGTTAATTTACAAAGCACCTCCAGTCATGTGTGAATGTGGTGTTAAATCCAACTACGGTCTAGTCCTTTCAGAGCTTGTGTATGGAAAATGGACTCTAGGCCCATTTACTTTGGATTTTAGTGTTTGATGACCAACACAACCAAATTGGACTAATGAATTTGTAAGTAATTGTTTTGTAGTTCAATAGGGTGCAAGACGTGACTTGGACGAAGACAACATGATGATCCCACGATCAACACCACAAGCAAGACCCTAGAAGCACAAGAGAAGACTCAAGATATCAACATAGTCCAAGCACGAAGATAGGAACCAGGCCGGACACAAGATCGCAAAGAAACAAGCTCGGTAGAGGTAACCGGACGTGGCCCTAGGAGGACCAGACGCGTCCGATTAGTTGCTCAACAACAACAGGCATCGGTAGCAGTGACCGGACGCATGGACTTTACTGTTCATCATCGCAACAACAACTCAGTGAGGACCAGACGCAATGGTACTAGATGACTGGACGCACAAAGTGCAGCGTCCGATTGAGTCCAAAGAGGTTCCATAATGGTGAAACATCGACTGGACGCGTCAGGTGGTAAGTGACCGGACTCGCCAGAGAGTCTGATCAACAGTGAGCGCCAACGGGCTTCAACGGTTGGGATGACCAGACATGTCTGATCAGGACGACCTGCGCGTCCGGTCAATGGCAGGAAGCTAGGTTTCGTCTCCAACGGCTACTTTCTCCATGGGACTTATAAATAGGCTCCCCAACCGGCCATTTGATGAGCGGAGAGTTGAGAAAACATACCAAGGGTGTTGATTCACCATTTTAGTAATCTCCACTTGCATAGTGCTTAGTGATTTATTAGGTGATTGGCGTAGGTGCTTTTGTGAAGTGCTTAGGTTGATTAGACCACTGCTTATGCGCTTGCTCTAGGTTTAGGCCTAGTGTTTAGTGAGGTTTGCATACCTCTTATCACTCGGTGCTTGCGCGCACCATTGTTGTACATCAGAGGGGCTTGTAGTCTTGCGAGATCACACCAACCGCGTTTGTGGTGTGGCCGCCACCGTGTACCAAAGGGAACAAGGCTTGCGGCGTTTTGACCGGAAGCTTGATAGTGAAGATGGCGGGGAGTGGTCCGGGAGAGGCTTTGCCACGAGTGGCTTAACCGGAGACCCGCTTACGCGTGGGGAAGGCCCAGAGCTATCCACGAAGTTACCCGACTGGGAGCTTGGCCCTTGCGAGGGATTCCTTGTGAGGGGCTCCAACGAGGACTAGGGGGAAGCTTGCGCGCTTCTCGATACCTTGATAAAAATATCGGAGTCATTGATGGGAGTTTGCATATCTCTACCTTACTTTTTACCTTCCGCATTTATATTGCAATCTTGGTTTGTTCTTTACTTTCCTAGCTTAGTGATAGGCTAGTTGATAGGTTTGAAACCTAGGTTGCATAACTCCTTTTTATGGTAGAGATAGCAACACACTAGTAAAATCATAGTTGCACAAAAAGATAGTTTATCTTTTGCATAGGTTTTTGCTACGGTTAGAAAAAGAGGCCATAGTTTAGGGAGTTAGAGTTTTAAGTTGCCTAATTCAGCCCCCTCTTAGGCATCACAGTCGCTTGCAGCTTGGAATAGACCATTATTGCGGCCATATGGTTGACTATGATGAGGTTAGTTATTTTTGTGGTAAACATGAAATCGTATTTTATTTCTTTTGCTAAGACATATATGATATAATTTTTCATTTGAACAGAGCACTAGGAAAATGCAGGTGGGAATGTTATGATGGTCAATCTAAGTTCTTGAATGAACTGAAGGGGAGGCAAGTAATTGCACAGAAGAGGGGATATGGACCTAACTACGTCAACCTATTTGTTAAACATCACAAAAAGAAGATATGTGAGTTTGTTAGACATATCAAGGCAATGCAGGTGAGCCTAGCCACATGAGTCAGACGGAGGAGGATGCATCCTTGACTCAGGCCGCAAAGAGGCCATAGGTGAAGCAGAGGTAGCTTACTATAGGTGACAGGCAGATCAGGACAATGCAGGTGAGCCTAGCCACAGCAACGAGGTAGTGGTAGAGGACTGGTACTCGGACGACGAGTTGCTTACTCAGTATGTTTCAGACTGAGGATTGGTAGAGGTGTGGTAGTGGATTGGTACAGGTGTGCTAGTTCAATGCTTTAGATTTGGTATTTGTATTGTAGTAGAACTTTCTCGGTGCTGCATTGTGTTTTATTTGAACTATTTATGTATTTACCCATATAACAAACACTATTTAATTTATGTATTATACCCATGCAAGGTTGACGCGCCCCCAGCCATGGCGCGGCGGTCAAAGCGGCAGCAAATGGAACAAGGCACCTCTGTTATGTTCTCACATGAGCCAAGTTATTTCGTTGTATCGGTTTAATGAATAGGTCAGCAGGAAGGTTAAGTGCATGAGACAATCAATACACAAGTTCAGCAATACTAACTTGTACATGTCCCAAGTTCATCACAAGTTTGACAATACCTCTGTTCGACATAAGTTCAGTAAGTCATAACTATGGCACAAGTTCATCAATACATAAGTTTGACATTACTCGACATACTACATGTCCCATCAGTATATGGGTGTCTG